GATATGTACTACATTAAAAAATGTATATAAATATAATAAGTGACAATAAATTATATTAACAATATAAATATTCTTTTTATTACTAATATTTATTATTGGTTAGTAAAATAATTTATAACAAAGAAGTTAAATTTAATGTCTTTTCTATAAATTATTCAGTCACAGTGAGTTATGATATATACAATGAAAGAGAGGTATATAACAAATGTATAAATACATCAAATAATGTGAGTATAACATGATTACTGATTGTATCTGCTTAATCAACCTTAGTCTTTAGATGAATACAATGTATTATTGCTGTCATAAAATAGGCAAATTCTTTTTATTGCATCTTTAAGATATAACTAATAGTTTTATGTCTACCATACTTAGAATATTTCAGATGCATAACTATGTATTCAAAACACAAAAGATTTTGCAACTTATCCAAATAGAATGAAGTTTTATGAAAGTGTTAACATTACCTTACTGACTGACGATTTTCCACAATTGCACATATATATTTATAAAAAGAATGTTAAAATGTTATAATAACAATGATAAAATTATATGATAAAATTATACACTTTATTAACTAGAAGTTCAATAAAACTGAACTATATGAAACACGAAGAATTCCGATTGAAAATGTTCATAAAAAAATTGCCAAGATATTTACACATCATTATAAATACGATTTTCGATATTATTTTAAAATACTTTTTTAGTTCATTGTATTAAATAGTATATATTTAATAATTTCAATGTACGTGAGTTCTTCTCCATTTCATTCCTCCATAACATTTAAGTATTAAATATTAAGAAGAAAATTTTTCAAGTTCTTTTTTAATTGATGCAATTAGTGGAACTGCAGGGTCCTCAGGTGCAAGTTGACTATTGGAAAGTATGCGTTTTGTATCTATATCTGGTACATTTGGTCTATGAAAGGGACCAGCACTTAAAGGTCTAGAGCTCCACCCACTATGAGATTGAATTGATCCTGAATGTCCATTTTCTGTAATATTTTCTTCAATATTTTTTTGAGATAATGATATAGGATGTTGTACCTCCATTTCCATTGTTCGTGAAGACACAGGGCTGAGTAATACAAACAATAATAACAAAATATACTGTTAATAGTATAAAATTATTACAAATGTAAATACAAGACAATAACATATGAGTTACTTATGTAGAGCATATGTACCTAATTTGGGCAGGTCGTCCTCTGGTTTTCGAAAAAATTGGCAGAACATCCGGTACGTATACTGCCGAATTTGGTTGCATTGTGCAGGTTGGTATTTCCGAATTCTGTTCTCTACTTCCAAAAAGACTAAAAGAATCTTCCAGCAACTCGTGGAGCCTTCTCTTGGCTCGCCCAACAGGACCAGCTGATGTACATGTTATTTCATCAGTTTCTGACGTGCCATTCCCTGAAGATAATGTAACTATCATTTACAAATTCAAAGAAAACGCTATAAAGTAAACTGTATCTTATGTGCAAATTCAAGTAGAATAATTGGTATTTCCATTTGTAGTTGCATTTGGATAGATATAAATTACATGTTCTAATAGAATTGCAAAACTTACTGTATTGATTTAGAGATTATACAAGATGTTACCCATTTTCAAAATAATTACAATTACTTTCCTTCCCCAGAGATATTTTTGAAAATATCTCGAAAACTAAAAGAATTTGCCGCATATATTATTACTAAAATATAATTCAACATTTATCGGTAAATTTTCGATGTTGATAAAATACTTAAAATTTAATTTTTTAGATATTAACAAATATGTCTCATAAATGTCAAGATAAAATGGATGATTGTCAATATTCAGTAATTTCGAACTTTCATTTTAACATGTACAAAAGAAGTTAAAATTTCATACCCTCTGTAGTTAGAGTCTGTCTTCGAAGATTCCAAACTATAGGTCCAACTACTCCAGGATCATTCATAGCACTTGAAGTTCGTGCAAAAAATTTATCATTGATTTTCCTACTTCTGTAGGAATCAATATCATTATTGTCTCGTCTTTCTAATTCGGGAGAATCTATATCTAAATGTCTGACCTATAAAAGAAATATTTATATAAAAATATAAGTATGGATTACATAATGTTTTATAGTTCTCTTAGAAAAGGAAAGGAAGAAGATAAATTGGTACACACCATAACTGGTTCTAATACTCTAGAAAGAGGTTCAACACTTTTCATGTTAGGAAACTGTTTACAAGTTGGCATAGATAGATAAGAATGGGGTGAAGCAGTAGCTTCTTCTTCTTCTTCTTCTTCTTCTTCTTCTCCTTGTCTCATGTAATTGGTTTCCAAAGACTCTAATGTTCCTAAGCGATTAGCCATCACATCCATTGAATCTGATGCTTTAGGCATGTCAACAGCATTTGTCCGCAATATTCTTCCATGTGTCAGTCTGTAAACAATAAACTTATTTAAATACTCAAATACTGTAACTTTTGATAAATGAATTTTTTATAATATATATTTAAGGTGTACAACATAATTTGATTATTTTCAATATATTTTAAATTATAATTTACATAAAAATTTGTTACGCAAGGTATCTCATCTAACTGGAGCATCTTAAATATTTTGCTTATATTTTGTGGCAGAAAAATATGTCAGAGGAAAAAATATGCACACTTTAATAGGTTTTTAATAATAGCCATTTTAAGTAGAACTTCAAGTGAGGTGGGACAACCTACATATGAGGCAATCTTAGTTGCTAAAGTATAAACTTATACTTTTACAATAATTAATTATCAAACATTTGAGGTTAAATAACATGCGAACCATAAACTCTTCAGGGCTATCCCACGTAAATACTGTGCTAGCCGTTTATGTTGTTTTTGTTTTATTACATATGTATATTTATGATTTTATAGTTCAACTCATAATTTAGTTTTTAACGTAAACTAAAATGGTGAAAATGATAGAGTTACGGTTTAGTTTTCAAAAGAAAACTCTAAAATATATTGATAGTTAGAATAGCAGTAAGTACATGTTACCATCATCTCTCTGTATTGATGATATTTTTGGGTGTTCAAAATGGAGTAGCCAACTATTGTAACTTCCAATGAATCTCAAAGCTCTTATTTCAGGAGGCAGGTCATAACAAAAGTTACTATTAATAAAAATATTTTTTATACCTTGTTTTTTTTGAAGAATATTCTAAAATACTTGGTTCTTGTGCCTTTCTCTTTTGTTCTTCTTCATTATCACTGGAAGCTTTGTGAATTCCTACATCGAAATTATCTGTAGGTTCAGGAGTAACTGAAGTCCTTGCCACACTTCCAGGTGTGTGACTTTGACTACTACCTTCAGTCTGTGAAAAATCATGAAAACAACGAAAAGGCAATATAAATTTGTACATTGTTTTATTAATCCTTCTTTTTAATTATATTGTACTATCAATAAGGTAAAAGCACAAATTAAACATATTTCATCTACCATATTAAATAATTAAATTTTATATACCTTAATATCAATTTCTGATGTTGAAAAAACAGTATTATCGCGACCACTGGATGTTGATACATAGTCCGGCTTTTTTCTTAAAATGCTGCGATTTGGTGGAGCTACTATTGCACTGTGTGATCTTTTTCTTTTTGCTGTGAAAATTAATCCCACAAGTATAACAGCCAAAAGAATGAAGCCGGCACTGGCTGCTCCAATTAATAACCATGCATCCCTTTTTCTTGACAGCGCCAATGGTCGAGATTCTTTTAAGTAAGCTGTATACAGAAAATATATATAGATTATTCCTTCTGTGAATAATTCAAATGTATTTAAGTAATTTAATAATGAACTTTGTAATGAAAATAGTTTTCATAACAGTTCTGTTTTAAATGCTTGAGAAAATAAAATAAGAAGTAAGAGATTTTTTCAAATACCTTACAATTATAACAATTATAGTACTGTGAATTAAATTCAATTGATTTTATACTCCACGCATAAAGCAATTTCTAAACCTTTCTGAGTATTTAATATCCATCCAATGCTTTTTACTTTCATTGTTAACATAAGATAACAAGGATAACAAGGAGAAATTTTTAAAACACATTCCTCTGCGCATATTATTCTTATCAGAAATTAACTTTGTTAACATTAAACAAATACTGAAAATATTTTCTTTAACTTCACAAATGCTTTATGAAGGTTTCATAGGACAATAGAATTCTTTCTAAATAATATTAATTTAGAACACTTACGTTCACTTTGAATAATAACTGGAGCACCAAGTTCTAATGCCACTTCTTGTGGTGATAAAAGAGCCATGTCTCTGGCAGCTGTTTCAGCAGGTACAGGTTTTCCACCTAGGTGAACCGAATAAACCAATCTTGTAGCACCATTTTCAGTTATACTTGTATTTTGCATTCTAACTTGAACAGTCCCTTCTGCCGAATAATTAAGTAAGCGTAATTCTGAATGCTTGTTTGTGCTTTCCCCTTCAATGTCATTTGATATCAATTTTCTGGGTACTGGTCGACTTCTTGAAGAAATCTGCAAGTTTATTGTCATATAAATAGCAATATTTTATTATTTTCTACAAGATAAGGCTTTTTTTTATTTGAATTCGCTTACACCACCTTAAACTATCTCATATTATTTCATACTATCTCGTGTTATCTCAAAGTGTCAGAATTCTTCCGTTCAAAAGTAATAACTATTTTGGTAGCCAGCCTAACTTATATGAAAAAAAACATTAGAGTTTGTAAGACAGGATTTTGTACGCGTAAAATAAAATTGTGAACTTATTGGAATCGTACTCTTTTTAATCTGATGTTCCTCGCTCGGAGGCTACAGAAAGAACGCCCTGAGAATGGCATTGTTTAGCTGGAGGGGTGAAGTTGAATCTGCTTGGTCCTCTTCGATTTTGATGATTTTCAGGTATGTTGTTGAGGAAATGATTTTGAACAAACTTTTTCTTTATGTCTTGTCAACGGAAAGCTTTAGCTTCCGAGATAATCGCGAAAAACTTTTGTTACTACTACAATGAATTCTATATACATAGGCGCATCCGTGAGAAAACTTATAACCGCACGCTTGTCGTTTCGGCGGCGGCTTGCATCAATCAACCCTTGATGTTTTCAGATTACGTGTATACATCCTGACAAAAGTTCTACCAGTTCTACTTGTCAGTTGCAGTGGTAGCTTCGTTGTTTCGTATAATATATTCCCTCTCCCAAAAAAACTAGCCCTACCTATATCGATATCGTTTTCTCTTAACACTAGAACTACTGAATAGGTCAAAATGGCCCATTCCCAGTTTCTTTACTTCCAGTTTTTGAATAGAAAACAGACGCTCTTCTGAGAAATTACTTTTGTAGTTTCAATAGTTGCACTATTGGGGATTCTACAAAAAAAATCGAAAAGGCAATTTGACTGCTCGGTAGTTTTAATGTTAAGTTCAACTATGGATTTTATAATAACAGCAAAAAGAAACTGCTTTCACATTGTTTCCACTAATTAAAGTAGACTCTCGATTATCTGAGTCTTGTTTAATCGAGTTTCGTATTATTCAAGGTGGTTTGAAGATATCGCATAGCAATGGTCTAGCTGCTATCAAAACAGCTGTATCCTATATTCAACAGTAAGATAATTGTAAATAACTGCACTTGCCAATATGTAATTTTAAAGATGTCTACGTAACACAACGACAAAGAAAGAAGACCTACATTTAACCCTTTGCGGACGAAGCATCTTTAAAGTACACAAAGCTAACAACATATAAAGATAAATTCTACACCGAATGCTTAAACAATAGAAATAAAGGAAACTGTACACTGATCTCTTGCTATTCGAATAATTAACACGTTGAATGCCACATGATTTCATGAAGCAAAATACACGAACCGAAAAAAGGTTCTAATGTTAATTAGAACTATTGAATTATTGAATTAATTAAATTGCGTTATTGTATTGTTAAATTGCACGTGTATCTTGTCGAATGTCACTGTAATTAGGTGATATTATTTATAATATAAAAATGTTTTCAAACAGTCAACGTTTAATTCAATGAATTATAGTGATTCGATTTGATTGGGGGTCACCGGTGATTCCCATGGCATCAACGTGTTAAATCATTCGTTTGCAACTTAGTACTCCAAATATGAATATTTCATTTTGCCAAGATGTCGACGTTCGTCCGCAAAGGGTTAAACAATGAAGCATAACTTCATTTGCCTTAAAAGTGAGTGAAATGTATTACTAATTAAAATTAAATGCGCAATATTACACTATTAACATGTTTTTCATGATTCTATTATTCGCGGTACGAATAGTCCATGTTAACTTGGATAATTGAAACGTCATTCTACATTATAGTTTACATCCTTTTAATCAAATTACCTTGTTTGCGACGAGTGTCCGTTCGTCTGCAGCTCTCTGAAATCGAGAATCCATCTGCAGAAGTCCAAGATGTCGTTGTTGTTGTCTTGAGAATGCTGTCCGATATAAGCGAGCCAATTTCAATTCAATCTTAGGCGGTACAGCTTCACCAGCACGAAGAACTGTTAATAGCCAGTACCTAAAAATAGAACAGGAAAAATGTGCATAGTTTTTCGAAATTCATAGTAAAATCGGAAGTGTGATAATTCTACAGATAAACATAAATTTCAAACTTTGTAGCCAACACTTCTGGATCTAAGTGTTGAGCACGAATAGATGAGAAACTAATAAGTCAATTATATCTTAAGGATACAATATGTTTCATTAGGTTTTATTTACAACATTGATTAATACTATACGTTAATAGTTGAGTTTAAGTGGT